GTGTTCTGCCTACATGTATGCCTGCAGGCCAGAAGAGGGCACCAGATCTCATTACAGATGGTTGTGAGCCGCCCTATGGTTGTTGGGAATTGAACTCAGGACCCCTGGAAGAACAGGCAGTGCTCTTAACCACTGAGCCATCTCTCCAGCCCCCATAACAGAATTCTTGAAGCAAGGAGATCAGGTTTAGAGGCAGTCTGGGAGATGAAGGCATTGTTCAAGGCCAGTGCAGAAGCAGGACACAGGCAAGAGCCTCGTGAAGCAAGCCAGGTGAGAGAGGAGGGGAGCCAGCTGGAGTGGGGCAAGATAGCCACCAGGCCATTAGATCTTGAAGTCTCTTTTATATCAATAGTGGATGATGTAAGGAGTTTGGGGCCAGAAGTAAACAGATGAGTACCGATCTTCTGGCACACCTCTGGTACCTCCTCACATATCACCTCTGGTGATAGTGAATCTTCTTTAGTTAGTTTGAGTGCATACAGAATCACCATGGAAACATACCTCTTTGTCTATGAAGGGTGTTTTCAGGGAGACCCATCCTGAATATAAGTGGCACCATTTCAAGCTCTGGGATTCAGGACTGAATGAAGGGATGGAGGGTGGGGTCATGAGATGAGCACCAGTCTGACTATAGAGGCAATATGGTCAGCCAGTTGTCTTGTTTCTAGTCACACAGCTAAGGCTCCTCTCACCATGCTTTCCTTCCATTAGGGACTACAAGCCTTCTTAAATCTTGATGAAAAACACAGGCTTCCTTCCTTAAATTGTTTTCAATTCTTATTTTGTTCTTTGTTTTTGTTTTTTGTTTTTGTTTTTCAAGACAGGGTTTTTCTGCATGGCACTGGCTGTCCTGGAACTCACTCTCTAGACCAAATGGCCTTGAACTTCACAAACCAATAGCTTGTATGTTTTAGCATATACAGACTAGAGATTTTAGCAAGAGAGAGACATGAAACTATAAGTCTATTTGGAGCCAGGTATGGTGGCACACACCTTTGATCCCAGCACTTGGAAGGCAGAGGCAGGCAGATCAAGGCCAGCCTGGTCTATAGAGTGGGTTCCAAGACAGCCAGAGCTACACAGAGAAACCCTGTCTTAAAAAAAAAAAAAAAAAAAAAAAAGATTCTATTTTGGAGGCAATGAGAACCACTGGGCAGAGGGAAGAGGGAAAGAGGTAAAAAAATGGGTGAAAAGAATCAAAGTACATAGTATACATGTATCAAAGTATCATAACAAAACCCATTACTTTGCATAATAATACATACCTTTTTAATTTAAAAGAAGAAACAATATGCAGAAATTACTTCCCCCAATCTGAACCAAATATAAGAGTCCTGAAAATGACTAGTCTAAGGTTTAATATTCACTAGGTTGAGTATAATTTCTTGCTATATTTACCCCTTCCTATGGGTTTATCAGAACATAACCAAATGGGTAACTAAGAACATCTGTATTTGTGAAGAGCAGTAAACAGTATATTAGAGGAAATACTGTAACTAAGAACATCTGTATTTGTGAAGAGCAGTAAGCAGTATAGTAGAGGAAATACTGTAGTGCTGCTACAGTAACTCAGAAAAGTAAAAACTGGCCCAGAACACTGGTGTTCAAAGCAAAGCCGATCTGCTGCTGTGAAGGCATGTGTCCCATGCTTACACCACTGGACAATGCTCCTTTATAACCAGGACAAGAGGAAAGGACACTCTGTAAGGCTGCCTGTAAAACTGACGGAGTATAAAACATTCTGAATCGTGAAAATGAGCCAAGCAACCTCTCTTCACTAATGTGAGTAGTAATTTCCATGAATTAAAATTTTCTTCATGTCATTATTTGAGGCCTTCCAAGTAATAATTCCTATGATTACCAAATATAGAATTCTACTCACATCTCAGTACATCCAACATAGAGGCACCTAACTATATCTAAGCAGCCCCATAAATCCCTTTAAGTTAAACACCAATCCTGCCAGAATGTCCATGGAATGTTCTTACTGATGAGACATACTGGCTTACTGTGCGCAAACAGATTTAGTACAATTTATTACATGGTACTAACAGTCTTTGGCAACAGGCCACAAATGCCAACATCTCTCTTAGTATAGTGACTGGAGGGGAAATTACAATAAAAATCAATGGTACAACAATACAAACATCAAAATAACATTTACATGAGAAAAACCATTAGTTAAATATGTACAATAAAAGTGGCTGGTGACATGAAAAACTAGGAAAGCTTGTAAATGTGATGTGATCTATGATTATAGAGTGACATTTATACCTACCTTCTAAGTAGACTAAGAATTAACACTTGTTAATCTACAAGTGGTTTGAAAATAATTTAAGGGACAAGGAGACAAGAAATGTTAGAAAAAAAACATCAGGTAGAGAAGAAAGTTAACAAACAAAAATATATAATATGAAAGTGAGTTCTGTTCATGGAAGAGAATGATAGTCTACAAAAAATGGTAAGAGCTTACCATATGAATTAAGAGGGAAAAATCTCAATATGCACAAAAAGTCATTTTTTCCCATGATACAATAATCTCAAGGGCTTGAAAACAAGACTTTTTTTTTTGAGCCTTCTGGCATTACAAATAACTATAAACTCATCAGTGAATGTACAGAAATTAAAATAAAAGGAAAAAACCACCTGATTTAATGCAAAAAGATTTCATCCATTAAACTTGTATGCACTATTGCTCTAAGAAACCTTACTAAATTAATGTAATGATAGTGTACCTTTATCTTCTTTTCTTTCTTTTTTCCTTTTTGGTTTCCATCTCCTGTACTTAAGCAATCCTTCACTTCACATACTCAGTTTAAAGATAATTTTCTAGGGGCTGGAGAAATGGCTCAGTGGTTAAGAGTGTGTAATAGTCTTGCAGAGGACAGGATTCAGTTCCGAGCAGTTCCGAGCACCCACATGAGACAGCTTACAGCTGCCCATAATTCTAGCCCCAGAGAATCAGATCTCCTTCTGGTCTCTGCAGGCACTACATGAATGTGCACAAATTCACACAAAGACAACATGCATATACATATAGTTTTAAAGAGAGATTTTTTTTTTAAAAGCAAAAATGTGAAGCATGGAGTCCAAAAAGGTTCTTTTAGGAATGAACTACCAATGCTGGATGTGGAAGCAGACATCTTTCACTGAAACATTCTAGAGGTTGAAACAGGAAGATAATTTGATCAAGGCCAGACTGGATTACAGGGCAAGACTATTTCTGAAAAACAGAAACAAATCGCTAATAAATTCCAATAAGTACAATATATTTACAAAGTTTTCTTCAGATATTGGATTTTCTAAAACAAACAAAAGTTTGTATTCAGTCCTTCACATAATTGACATTTATGGAAATCAATATATGAAATTTTTTCAAAGGACTGTCCCACTATTTGCTGCTACTGAGTTCCTTGTGCTTTGACAAGGAAAGATTTTATTGGGGAAGCATTTGCACATGTGTTCATATTTGGACATCTCTTCTAGTCAAACATACAAACATGTTTTTTCTTTTCTTTCTTTTTTTTGAAACAGTTTTACTATATAGCCCTGAGTGACTAGGAAATCAATATATAAAACAGATTGGCCTTGAACTCTGATATTCCCTGCCTCTGCCTCTCAAATTTTGGGATTAAAGGTAAGCCACACTATGCCTGTCCAAACATGTTCTTTCTTAATCCATGAATAGGACCAAAAGATGTTCCACATGTTTAACTTTATAGTTCTCTGAATGCCGTCTTATGTTATGAAGACTTTTCAAGTTCTGAATTCAAGGTTACTGTCTGGTGAGTTCTTCTGTGTCTGTGGAAAGAACTATAATAACTGAAGGCTTTCCCACATTCTGTGCACACGAAGGGTTTCTCTCCAGTGTGACTTCTTTCATGTGACTTCACGTAACGAAAAGAACGGAAGGGCTTCCCACATTGTGAACATATAAAGGGTTTCTCTCCAGTGTGGATTCTTTCATGTATTTTGAGGTAACTAGGAGAACGGAAGGCTTTTCCACATTGAACACATGCATAAGGCTTCACTGTCGTATGAGCTTTCTCATGCCTTCTCCACGATATGCGACTACAGAAGGCCTTGCCACATTGCTTGCATAAGTAGGGTTTTTCTCCAGTGTGAGTCTGTTTATGACTGTGAAAGGTACTGAACCAACTGAAGGCTTTCCCACATTGCTTACAGACGTAGGGGTTCATGCCACTGTGAATTACTTCATGTCTTCTTAAATGATACAAAGAAAAGAAGGCTTTTCCACATTGCTTACATACATACGGTTTTTCTCCAGTGTGAGTTCGTTCATGTATTTGAACCTGACGGGAAGACCTGAAGGCTTTCCCGCATTGTTTACATAGATAGGGCTTCTCTCCGGTATGAATCAATTCATGGTATTGAAGGGAACCGAGAAAAGTAAAAGCTTTCCCACATTCCTTGCACACATAAGGTTTTTCTCCAGTGTGAGTTCGCTTATGAATTTGAACTTGTTTAGGAGATCTAAAGGTTTTTCCACACTGCTTACATACATAGGGTTTCTCTCCACTATGCATCAATTCATGGTATTTAACTGAACTGTGACTAGTAAAGGCTTTACCACATTGCTTACATACACATTCTCCAGAATGAATTATTTTATGTGTTCGAAAAGCACTTTCACAACTGAAAACTTTCTCACATTGCAAACACACAAAGAGTTGCTCTCCTGTGTGAGTCCGTTCATGTTTTCGAAAGGCACCTGAAGAAGCAAAAGCCTTACCACATTTTGTACATTTATAGGGTTTTTCTCCACTGTGCATCATTTCATGGAATCGGAGTGAACTACGATCAGTGAAGGCTTTCCCACACTGCTTACACACATAGGGCTTTTCTCCAGTATGAATTCTTTCATGTGTTAAAAGAGAACTCGAACGGGCAAAGGTTTTCCCACACTGTTTACACATATAGGGCTTCTCACCTGTGTGGATCCTTTCATGTATTTGTAGTGAACTAGGAAAAGGGAAGGCTTTCCCACACTGCTTACAAACATAAGATTTTTCTCGGCTATGATATTCTTCATGCCTTCTAAAAGAACTGGAAGAAGTAAATACTTTCCCACATTGCTTACATTCATAGTGTTTTTCTCCCGTAGAAGTCTTTTCATCATTTGGACCTGATGTGAGACAGCTAATGTCTTCATTACAGTGACTACTTTTAGGTTTCTCCTTGGTGTGAATTCTTTTATGCTTCTGGAAGGTTGTGGTAGAACTGGAGATGTTGTTCCCAAATTCCCTATGTTTATTCAACTCCTTTCCATATTCCTGAGTGTCATATGGTTTTTGTCTTGGGTTAGGATGAGGAAGGACATTTAGAGAAAAGTGGCCAATAACCACTTCTCCATATACATGGTTTTCATATGTGGGAACTCCTGGACACGATTTCTGGTTCAGAACACACTCTGGAGTCCAGTTAAAGATTTCTGCTGCAGAAGGATGACCTTCTGTATATTCACAGAGTCTTTCCAACAACTGGTTACTACAAAAAATAAAAAGTATATTACTAAAAACGTGTTTATTAATAATTTATCACAAGAAGTGTTAACTATATCCCCTGTAATAATTTTCAAAAATGTTTGAATTAAATGCTCTGCAACATGGTTTAAGGACATTTACAATAAAAACAGAGGTAGTTGTGTGTAGTTGTGCAACACTGTCTTCATTACAGGCAAATGCTGAATGCCTATATTACCTTTAAATACATTGTCAATACTTAATACTGTATACATTTTTGATGTACTAGTGACTAAAATAATGTTGGATTCTGACATACTTGTATATATCTATTATGACATTCATCATATTCTAAATTTTTTTTATTTCATATACAATGCATACCCAAAGCCTGGAGATAAATCAATATAACATTTTAAATAATATAGAGTAAAGATAGTGTATATGAATATGATAAAGTATTATTTGTGGTATCACGATGCTCCAGTTGTTACTAATACTAGGATGTTCTGATTGCTGAAGTTAATGTGTAAGCAGTTTTGGAGAAGATTTGTTGAAATTAAAACTGTTTGGAACAAGATTTATTTGTATCTATTACTGCTTTATAAAGTGTGCCAACCCACCAAGCGCCCTGAGGAACACTGCTGTTTCCTTACAAATTACCTTAGTTTTCTCCAGAGATTTTCATACTCATTTTCAATGTTTTGGTGTTCCCACTTGTTTCCTAGAATACAAACCAAGAAAAATGGATTACTTCTATAGGAGAAAAAAAGATTCTAGCTAAATTCACAAATTCACAGTATAAAGTGATTCCACCAGACATATTCACCCACAGTGTTCTTTTTCCATAATCTAATTCATACAGTAGGACTGATAAGCAAAAAACACTTGTTCTTTCTTTGACTAAGTAAGAAAATAATGTCATCTTTACCTATGTAGGCCAGGTTCCTCAAGTTTTCCTGCATCACATCTTTGTAGAGATTCTTTTGAGATGAATCCAGCATAGCCCACTCCTCCAGGGTGAAGTTCACAGACACATCCTCAAAGGTCACTGACTCCTAAAAATATACACATATATTTCCAAGAGAAAGGGTGAGTCTTACAGTATTAGAGATTTAGATTTAATTCATCAGAACTTGATATGATGCTATGTTCCACATGTATTCAAGTCACATCCTTATTCCATACATACAATTTCATATACATGCTGATTTTTCATACAGCAATTCTAACAGCAGATTGGAGATATCTGGTAAAGCAAAATCAGAATGAGACTACCCCTTGTGCTGAAAATTTCTACAACATAGATCCCCCTACATTTTTTATAGCAACTGTTGCATTACTTAATACCCAACAAGAGAGTCAACAATGGCTGTCATGAGACTGCATAATCTTATGCAGGCTGGAAAAAAAATGTTCTATCTCTCCTGTGGTATGGAAACTACTACTGGGAAGAATTCCTCTTTGCTCTAACTCTAAAGAATGGTATGGCTTTTCCAAAGAATTGATGCCAACCATATACTACTTTTGTTTTTTAATTTATTTTATGTAGACGGTATTCTGTCTGCATGGTTGCCTGTACACCAGAAGAGGGAATCAGATCTCATTATAGATAGTTATCAACTGCCATGTGGTTGTTGGGAATTGAACTCAGGAACTTCTGGAAGAACAGTCAATGCTCTTAACTTCTGAGCTATCTCTCCAGCCCCTTGTTTTTTAAATATAGACTTCTTTGTATCTAATTTTGTTGTCTTAGGACTATGACCATAAGATTTTGAGGCTAGACAAAAGTTTAGCAGGGAAAATTTGCAGTATTTTTGTGTGGTCATCAGAAATTAGTGATTGGAAAACACATTCTTTGCATAAAGAGTCTTAAAAAAATCTGGCTTAGTGGATACAATTTAATCTCTTGTCACAACTTGTTAGGGACCTTAGTGCATCTTCAGTAAATGCACTGAAAAATGTTTGGGAGCATGTACCTGGCTTCTTATAGATCACTCTTAATTTAAAAAACTAAAAGTTGGGCATGGTGGTGCACACCTTTAATTCCAGCACTTGGGAGACAAAGGTGTATTTCTCTGGGTTCAAGGCCAGTGTGGTCTACATAGTGAGTTCCAGGACAGCCAAAGCTACATAGTGAGATCCTGTCTCAAAACAAACAAAAAATAAATAAAGAGAAAATAAATAAATAAAATGAAAATTGAATGGAACTCATTAAAGATAATCCACAGTACTAGTAAACAAACACGAAACTAGAGGCAATACTAATAAAGCCATACTTGCTTGCAGAGGCAATATTTTTTATCTAAAGATAATCTTGTCAAAGACGATAAATACATTGTGCTTACTTAGTGCAAAAATGATAAAAATGATGTATAATTTTCAGTTTTTAGTACTTCCTTCTTGTTCCCAAATCTAGACAGTACCTTTCATAAATCCACCTTACAGCTTTATTTATAAAAGAATTTTTTTAAAAACGTTTAACATTGTTGTAAACTACATTTGTTTAGGAATATTAAAATGGTCTGGGCTAGGGGAGTCGGTTAGCTCAGTGGTCAAGAGCACCTGTAGATCTTGCAGAGGGTCGAACACCCACATCAGACAGCTCAGAACTACCAGTAACTCCTGTCCTAGGGGATCTCTCTGGCCTCTGTGGACATCTGTACCCACATCATGCATATCCGGACAAGCAAACACACATAAGTACACACAAATAAGAAATACAATTTAAGAAGTGGTGGACCATGGCAATCATGAACTCTCAGAAGAGGGACATATTTGTGTCTACTTGTATACCCATTGGTAAGCCCACCAAACCCAGATGGTTATTTCTGAATTCACAGATGGCGTCAATTAAACTCTGTGGGGCAGTAACAAATAAAAAACAATGCCTATGAAAAAGAGATTTGCAAGGAAGAAATAGGGATGGCAGGAAGAAAAGGAATAAGAGACAGTGTGGGGGAGAATAACCAGAATACATCATTTAGGTGTGTGAAATTGTCAAAGATAAAATGTATTAATAAAGAGGAGGTACAGGTTTCTTAACATGTAACTTCAAAGCACCAAAATTCTACATATATCCACTGTAAAGGCAATTGATTGACATTCTCCTTTGAGATGCTTGTATCTACAGCTGGCCATGTCTTATTCTTTCTTTGGAGTCTCTCTTTCTAATAATCCCTGTGTTCTATTTTTTAAATTGTCTCTTAATAAATCTCCAACTGGGTGTTATGGTGCCTGCATTTAACCCCAGCACTTGGGAGGCAGCGGCAGGAAGATCTTGGTGAATTCAAGGCCAGCCTGGTCTACAGAGCAAGTCCTAGAACAATCAGGGTTACATAGAGAGACCCCATCACAAAAACAAACAAACAAACAAATAAATAAATAAATAAGTCTCCAACTCTGGTTCTGGTAAAAAATGTTTCATGTATGGGCTGGGGAGATGCACTTGCCATGGAAGTCTGTTAACCCAAGTTTAATCTCCAGAATCCATATTAGAAAAACAAAACAAAACAAAACAAAACCTGACTCCCCAAAATTGTACTCTGACCTTTTAAATTGTGTGTGTGTGTTGTAGTGTATGTATGTATGTATGTATGTGAACATGTATGTGTTAATGCACTTGCCCCATGCATGCATGTATAGAGACCAGAAGCTGGCTTAGATTGTTTTCCTCTAACACTTTCTACATTTTTAATAGGGGGTTTCTTCCTAAACCTAGCACGAGTTCCATCTAGAGTTGGAATCCACCAAGCGTCCAGGGTCTCTCCACCACTGCCTGCTTTATTTACCCTTCTACCATCCTCCACACCAACCCCACCAGCACTGGGGCTTGAGACGTGCCCGAGTTTCTGGTGATCCGAACTCAGGTCCTACGTATGCAAACACTTCATCTGCTGAGCCATCTACCCAAAATAAGGGTGTTTTATTAGAGGGGAAATGCCTTTTAAAATCTGTAAACATAAGATTTTAAAAAAGGAACCATGAAGTTTACAAAAAAAAGTCTTATTAAAAGTTATAGGTACAGGGGGCTGGGGATAGCTCAGTGGTTCAGAGCACTTTCGACTCTTCCAGAAGACGGGGTTCAGTTCCCAGCACCACATGACAGCTCACAATCACCTGTAACTCCAGTTCCAGGGTATCCAACACCTTCTTCTGGTCTCTATAGGCACTAGGCACACATATGGTGAACAGACATACATGTAGGCAAAGCACCCATACATATAAAATAAACACAAATAAGTTTTTAAGTTACAGGTATGATATATCTTTTGGTAAAAGTTAAAGAAAAATGGGATGTACAATTTTTAAATAACCCCCTACCCCCATTTTTTTAATGCAGACTTCTTTGCATCTCATTTTGTTGCCTTATGACTATGACCATAAGATTTTGAGGCCAGACAGAAGTCTAGCTGGGAAGATTTCATTAGTTTGTGAAAACCTTGTATCAGCAGTTGACCGGCTCCTTGGTTATCAGCTCTGACAGGCCCCAGCACGACCTTCAAATAGTGGGAAAGCTATAAGAAGGTACTGAACTATAGCAAAACTCCTCCTGTCCTGCTTGTTCCTCCTCTAGCTGTTATCAACAACTCAAACACTTCTAATAAGCAAACCTTCCATCTCAAATACCTTCAGCCATCATATCTATGGACTCCTTATACATGGATTTGACCAGAGATGCTGAGAGAAAAAAATTTGCAGCTCTGCCCATATAAGAGAGAGAGAATGCCAGAGAGCTAGAGAGCCAGAAAGAGTGAGAGACAGCGAGGACGAGATAGAGATAGATAGGTAGACAGACAGACAGACAGACAGACAGTGAAAGGGAGAAAGGGGGAAATGCTTTAAAATTGGAAAGGGGTTTAGGTGGTATCCACACCCCCATCTCCAATGTAAAGGATTGTGGCAAAATGGAAATAAAAAGTGAGAGAAAACTCCAAAGCTTAAATATGTCACCAAGGGCTTGAGTTCCCAAAACAATTTGTAAGAGGAACTGAAGAGAAGGCTCAGTGATTGAGGGCACTGCTGCTCTTTAAGAGGACTCGAGTTCAGTTCTCGGCACCCATGCCAGGCAGCTCACAACTGCCTGGACTCCAGCTCTGAGGGACCTAACACCCTTCTCTGACCTCCATGTATGAGTGCGCGCGCGTGCGCGCGCGCACACACACACACACACACACACACACACACACACACACACACACACAAATAAAAAACTTTTTTTTTTTTTTAAAGATCTATAAGAGTAAAACTTTAGCCAAACAGTAATGGATCATGACTTTAGTCCCAGCACTTAGAAGGTAGAGGCAGGCAGATCTCTGTGAGTTCGAGGCCAGCCTGGTCTACAAATCCAGTTCCAGAACAGCCAGAGCTGTTACAAGTAAAACTTTAAAGAAAGCTGGCATACATATGATTAGGTTTACTATAATTAAAGTTTACTTCCTAATTCCACAGGGTCAGAATGATAGCTGTTCATCGCCTCAGCCAGTCTGTTCCACACACTAAGAAAAACTACAAAAGAATACAGCGAGTACTTGCACGCTTCAACTTCACTTTAAAATTTCACTGTTAGCCGGGCAGTGGTGGCACACACCTTTGCTCCCAGCACTTGGGAAGCAGAGGCAGCTGGATCTCTATGAGTCCCAGGCTAGCCTGATCTACAGAGATATTTCTAGGGCAGCTAGGGCTACACAAAGAAATCCTGTCTCTGAAAAACAAACTTTTACTTTTAGGGTTCTCAGCAATAGATAAAATAAAGCCCCAAACCCACTGATTATAGACATAAGAACAGAAAGAAACAGTATTTCTTCCACCCACTTGGTGAGACCAGCAGTTAAGCCATTTCATGAGTCTACTTTGGGGAGAGGCACCCTAACTAATTACATTAAGTCACAGATCACAGCCCAAGGGTATCTGATGTTGTACAAAAGGAACAGAACAGTCCTAAGACTGATACTCATGAAAAAAAGAAAAGAAAAAGGATTTGAAACAAAGATGGAGAGGTGGTTCCATTAAAAACGACCTGGAGTGGTGGCACACACTTTTAATTCCAGAACTCTGG